TTCTCGAGATTAATGTTATAAACTTTTTTTTACAAAATGAAAAATTTCTTTTGATTCCAAAAGTATACTAGCTAATTTCGAAGAATTCTCCACCCACTCTGAATAGAATAAATTAGATACATATATTTAAATATCATTTACCAGTTGTAAATATGAAATTTGGTAGGGTTCAAAGCTCGTCAATATGCGGACGCTATTAATTATTATCGACCGACACACGCGTACAGCAATTTCCGTTTGTCGTTCGTCACTCGTTGCCATCAGTATCCGGCACGACGTGATACGTTTATCGCAACAAGCCGCACGAGATTTGCGTCGTTATATTGTCGTCCCGGGAGTCCTAAATGTCCGTCAGCCTAAAGAGAAGCTTGACCTGACGACGATGTCTATGTAATTTGTAGTGGCGGATTATAATGGAACAAAAGATTACATTCTTTTTCTATATATATATATATATATATATATATATATATTCAACCAAATTAAACACGAAAATTACTGTGAGAACATTTTTACAAGTCATTAAAAATAAATAACCGACAAAATGAAGTGCAAATCCTGAAATCTAGAATCTAATGCTCTAAATGTACCATCTGGGGATAATGTTCCCATTACATTTCACACTTTGCAGCTCTCTGAAAATACTCAGTAACATTTAATGTTTCTCTGAGAAGAGACTTTAAAGAGAAACGCTAAGGTGCAGTAGAAAGCACTGAGAAATAATACATTTCTTTACTTTCTTTTTTCCCCCTGTTTTCTAAAAATAAAGGTGAAAAAAGGAATGATTATGTTGAGGTGATAAATCAGGTATCAAATTTTGAGTGAATTGAAAACTGTATACTGAAAAATAATTAAAATAAAAAGTACAATCGTTCAAAATTTTAGAAAGAATTCAAGAAAGTTTACATTGGTACGTTGAAAAGCTAAGAAAATATCACGGCTTAATATTCTTTCCTTAATATATTACTAACGATTTAACAGTGGGGGTACAAAAATATATGATACTGTTGATCTTATATTAATAAAAAATAAAAATGGAATAAATATTACTTGAAAATAAATAAATAAGAAAAAGCTCAACATTAAAAAACTTTAACAGGATATAACAAGAAAAAACCGAATTAAGTAGAGTATTTTTCAAAACTCCTTGTCTCTTTTTTTTTTGCTCCCTGAATGACGCAAAGAAAAGCTACTATTTTTATTCGTTGTGTGCATGAATGCTTTATTTAATCTAATGTTGAAGAACAACTCAGTCGTACATTTTCTTATCGCTCGCCTCGGGATATTTTCTTCTATCTCGTAATTTTTTTTTTGTCAATGAACAAGAGAATGAAGTAAAAAAAATCTAGTACATCATAAAGGCGGAAAAGTTTTGATATTATAAAATAAAACTTGAAAGTTGAATATATTTAGTATCAAATTAATTCCTAGATTATTTGTTACTGCAAATGATACTCGAACTCAATGCAATTTTTTTTCAATTTTAAATTTCTTTATTTATTTTTTCTACCCACTTTTAAACTCGATTACTTTTAAGTTTATTTTTAGTTCTCTAGAGTAATTAAACGTAAGGGATAACGATTTGAAATTTGCAATTTACTTCGAGTTTTTACGTAGCTTATAATCGTCAATAAATGAAGCATGGTAAAATGAAAATATCATTTTCTCAGTAGTAAAGGTCGATTTGAGTTAGCCGTTAAGTATATTTTATAATCAATAAATCTTTTTATATTTCTCCATATTTATTTAAATAATTAATTCACCCTTAATTCTATATATAATCTCAAGAACTTGTTGACATATTTTTTTAAGTTTAAATTAGTTGAAAAAAAAAAAATGAAAGAAATGTATTTGAAATTTTTATTTCTACCTAAATGTTGATATTCAATTAGAAAAGAATTTGTATTGTATTTAAATTGAAAGGATCGTAATAAATGAATAGATGAACAAGAAGGAGAAAGAGAGAGAGAGAGAGAAAGCGAAAATTGACAACTACGAGTCCTTAATTCGTATCAAAGCAATTCAGTCTCCAACGAGCATCATGGCAAGCAAGTCGAGTGAACGACTCGAAGACAATGCAATTATTCGCAATTACTATGTTCGTCCACGATCCCTAGGGAATTATCCCATTCTATTTCCATTACTAGTACCCGCATGACTGTGTACTCCATCAGTCGATACACGAGACTCCACTTGCAAGACATTATTTTCACACATTCTAGACATTAATGATTATTCGATTACATTCCTAAATTTATGTTTATATTCGATTTTATAATTAATTATTACAATTTTTATCTCTTTGTACTGATAAATATTCAGCAATAATAAATAATGTATTTAATATTCAGCTAACGTTATAAATAGAATTAAAAGAATATTTTCTTCATTTTGTTAATTAAAAAAAAAACTATTAAATAATTTTTCAATCAACTTAAACATCTTGATGTTAACATTGTATTTACAATTAATCATTGTATTTACAAAAGAAAAAAAATCGTTTTTTTTACTACAAAAAGGAAATTATTAAATAATTTTCTCGTAGCTTCTGTTCTCATCTTGATGATTTGTATATTTTTTTTATTTAATTTTTTCTTTACATTTTATTCTCTGGAATGAGAGGAGCAGCGTAAAAAATGAGAAAAAAATTCTCGTTTCCTCTAGGCTAAAGAACGGACTATACGTCCTTCGCTTCGCGAGACTGGAACGGGTACTGGCTAATGTAACAAAGGAAAACCATCGGCGGGGGTGGCGAGCGACGAAACGTAATTACGAGGCTGCCTCATCCCCAGTCTGTTGTACGGCATACCCGTGACCGTTCAAAGAACATGAAGCGGCAATAGAGATAGAGAAAACTCGAGCTGTTCGTGTTCCGGACCGGTCTGGGGGTGTTTTAAGCTCTTTCCGGAACGTTTTATGACAGTTACAATCCTCTACCAAAGTATCATCGTTCTTTTCGATGACAAAATAATGATGACATTAAGAGTATTCTATCTGAGTTCGTCAAAACACTTTCTATCAATGTAAATAAATATTTTCCAACCTATAAAAAATTTTCAATTCAATATTCATAACTGTACGTCTATTAAAAGTGAATTTTCATTTGGTCTTTAATTTTAAAGTTTGTTTTAAAAATCAATAAACAAGTTACATCCAAAGAGCAAATGTTTCTCGACTTAAAAAGGTATCCTTGTAGGATCTATTGTGTCTAAATTGTCTTTGAATTTCATTGCTTTGATTATTCATTGTTACGCTTCAATTTATCAGGGAGTCAAGTTAATTGTACAGTATCAAAGATAATGAACAGAACATCAAAGTATTCAGTAAAACTATTGTAATATTCTTTAATAAGCAACATTTTAATGTAAGTATCAGGTTTTTTTTTTGGTAAAATAAAAAAATTCAAGTTTGCAAAGACCTTAAATTGAGTGCAATAAAAGAGAGTATTAACCGGCAATTGCTGAAGAAAATCTAAAGTATAGGTGAAGTACGAGTGGTCTCTGATAGTGGAGAAAGAGAGAAAGAGACCATATAGTGGTAGAGTTGCACGTAGGAGGGATAAGTTATTGCTCGACTGTGGCACGGTCGCAGGTGCAGGAAATCATCTTTTGCTTTCTCTCTCCCTCTTACGAGTATTTCCCTGCTTTACGAGCAAAATCCCAAAAGCAAACGATTCGTAGTGCTGTGACTACTTTTCAAGCAAACAAAAAAAGTCACTCTATTGATCATACAGTATTTAAGCATCTAAATAGTTTTTCATTTCTGTTGATAATCTAAAATAAAATCTACTACATATTTAGATTTATACTCGTTAACTTGTTTTACTTTAATTTAAAATAAATAAATTGTTCTCGATTAATTTTGAAATCAACACAAGGTAAAAAAGTTGATAACACAATAAATAATGATAAGAACGATAGTAAGAATTTTCTCATCTGTCTCTAGTAATCAAGTTAGTTGATGTCTAGGCACAAAGTTCTCGATCCAATGGGGAAATCCACTAGGAGATATTCTCCACAAAATGGATAGCGAGAACAAGAAACTCAGTAGTAATGCAAGCATCTCGAAAACCTCGACTTATTCCCCATCTCAGTTGCTTTCACTGGTCCAAAGTTATTTGCTCGACCGTGGCAGAGTTACGGCCTTTTACCACCTGCCAACCGGACTCTGCCGTTATTATTCTCGTCGTCTCAGTGGAATTGTCGAGTGCAAAATTACGGTGGTTCGCTTTAGTTATCCAAATTAGACTGGAGATGTTAGTGAGAACACGATCTACGATACAAGCCAACTCCGACAGGTGCTTCAGCCACAACTTAACCTCCTGAGAATATCCTCCACAAATTCAGTGATATGAAAATCAACTGAGTATCAGCATAAGTATTCATATTTATCAGCAATAGTTTTATATTATATTGGATAATTTTTTAATTGATTATTGAAAAATGAGTAATTAAAAAAAACTTGACTAATTTTTAACTGAATGAAGAAGATAAATGATTGAGGAAAGAGCTTAAGTCTTGAAAATTACAGTGAATTTTCGATTAGTTAGTAGTTCTGTCAGATAGAGTTGCGTACAATGCCGTGACTACGTGTCGTAGAATATAAAGGGACTGGTAGAGGTATGAGAAAGACTTTAGAACTCTGTGCAGAAACACCAAAGGACGACAGAATTCCGCGTTCTACATTGCCATATTATTATCGCTCCTTCCTTACTCAGAGTTTCAAGGGGTAATTTCTCGGAATGCTAAGACCGATGTTGAGTAAGAACGACGTAGATAGGCCCTAGAGGGACGACAGGAGAAGAGAGAATGTACTTAAGTTCTCTTTGACAAGATGAAGCCTTGAAGCGACTACGAATACTCTAGACTCGAGTGTTTCTTATTAGGAGTCTCTCCTTCTGTACCTTTAACTTTCGTATTATATCTCTCCACTCATTCTTTATCCTTATTTTGAACTAAAGAAATATATTTTAGTAATGAACCTCTTGATATTCATTTTAGCAACAACAACAACAACAACAGCAACAGCAACAACAAAATCAAAATTCACATGGGCAGTCACAATTACAGCAAGTCAATTCACCAGGAAGTGCAAATGCTGCTGCTGGAAAATCTAGTCCATCACCATCAAACTCGGCATCACCTGGTGTTACAACTCCTAATAAACCAGTTACTGAATCTAAACTCGTTGAATGCAGTCTATGTCGACGTCAATTTAAGAACATCCCAGCTCTCAATGGCCATATGAGACTTCATGGTGGATATTTTAAGAAGGTATCATTTTTTGTAGATATTTTGATCAATTATTTTATTGATAAAAGAAGAATTTGTTTAATAAGTAATTTAAAGTTGATACCTGCCAAAACTAAATTTATAAATTAAAAGAAATATAAAGTGCAGAATTTTTTAAAATGAAATAATGATTGCTAATTAAAACACTTTAACGAAGGTTTTTCGACCATCACATTCTTTATAAAAATCGGTTAAAAAGTCTGTAGTATAAAAGTTTTTCTTTCATTTGATCCTGATGCTGGGAAGGAGGTTGGTAAAGACTAGAAGTTTGTAGAAGAGTAAAAGGGGGCAGAGGAACTAAAATACGAAAGAAGTAAGATGAGTCAAAGAAGATAAAGGCAGAAGAATAGATAGAGATTGAAACTGAGGAGTGTGGAGTTGGCTAGGTTTGCTGTAGTATCCAAAGAAAATGACAGGAGTAAGAGCGTTACGAGATAGAAAGATAAGGCGATGATCGAATCGAAATGAACCTATTAACAAGTTCTTTTATTTCGGCTTGCTAGAACCAATTTCTAAACGTATATCTATATCTGTATAACAAATAGAAAGTGAAAAAAAAAAATTAAAGATAAAAGACTGAAAAGACTTCGAGCAGACATTATCCCAAGTTTTCTATTATACCGATTGAATCTGATCATCAACAGTTTTTTTTTGCATCTATATACACATGTTGTTTTGCATTTAGCTAACAATGAAAACATCTTATTGACGGTCAAGTTACTAGTTTTCATTTTATGATCATTTTATCAAGTGCAAGATCAATCAAAAAAATTTTTTTTTTTCAATATGGTGTATTTAGCACAGATTAATTAGATAAATAAAGGAAGCAACTTCAGTAAAGATAGTTTGATTATATTGACAAGTACAGTGGGATTTGTAATCATCAATTTTGTTCATTAGTTTGCCGTGTCTCATTTAATATTCATGAATGACTGTGAATTAGTATTATGCCAAAAGACTTGTATTATGAATATAATGAATTCAATTACTCAGATGTGTAAGAACATAAATCGATAAAACTTTCGTCCTCCATCTACTTAAGTAGCTTCTAAATCTCGAGATGAAGGCTCTGGAAATTCCATCAAACATAATCGAATGGCAGTTCAATTAGCCTCGTTCTCTGATTAGAGCTAAAGTGCGTGTCAACCTCTGTCCAGTATCAATTTACGAGCAAGGCTTCTAATCTGGCGTGACTATCGTGAGTCATTCTCTTCATAGTCCTTTGGATACTACGTCTGTGATCAATCGATCTTCAAATTCTGGCATATTCTCTCTATACTTATCATATTGTCATCATTTAAATAATTGGATAATTCTTCGAACTCTAGATAATTATAAGCAAATATAATTGAACTAATTTATTACTTTGTAGGATGGAGAAAATAAGAAGAATGAAAAAAAAGAAACGCCTGGACCACCGCTTCAAACAGCTTCTGTTAATGTACGAGCTCTCATTGAAGAGAAAATCATCCAAAAAAGAACTACAGGTATATTTCATTTTTTCTTGTGATTTGTTAACGTAACAAGACCTTTAATTAATTTAAAGTTGAAAAAATTGCTTATGAATAAATAAAGATTATTGAAATCCAAAAAGTACTTTTCAAACAAGTTAACACAAATATTGACGTTTCACTTTAACTATCGAAAGATCGAATGTGACTCATTCATAAAAGCAATTTTACCAGTTTGCCACAATCGATGATTGCCAATTTGTAAAAATCTCTTGTAGCACAACGATCTCTCGCACTTGATTCAACTTTTATCTGTATTCATATGAAGTAATAAAATCAATAGTCGAGTGTGCAATAGAATCGGTTTTGTACTTTGATAAATTAATTATTGAAAAAATTATAAAATACATCTATTATTAAATAATTATAAAACAATTAATTTTACTTTCGATTGAGAGCAGAAAGATAATTTTGAATTATTGTCGTATGTTTGTTTAATTTTAAAATAATCAAAATGGTAAAAAGTTAAAAAATTATCATGCTAACTTTCATCTTTAACGTACTTCTATAACTTTTTGTATTTTTATCTCTTCATCATCTGCTCCTTCGTGCTATTAACGAAACGAAAACAAAAGCATCCGAACGAGTCATAATAAAGACTGACTGAGTTCATAAAATTCACTGTTCGATGAAGAGTAAGAGAGATAGAAATTGGAACAGAGGTAGAGAATAACGAGAAAAGAGTATCTTTTGTTCAAATCCATCAAGTTGTTCCATCTCATTGGCTCTTTACTCTTTATGCTTACTCCAATGGTCGATTTTGCGTTATCTTGATCATGCAAGAAGACAAATTACCATGACAAATTAATGAAAATAGTTTTTTTTTTGGTAATTTTCTCATAAACAATTAAAAACTAATTTAAAAAATAGTGTAATTGATTTTTAATTAATTTTTTTTCAAATTCTTAGCAACAGAAGCTAACACTGCTCTATCACGAACTCACCCTACTGTATTTACAAGTCAAGCAGCTGATATTTCGACTCATGTTATTGGAAAAAGCAACTTCGCAGTTCCAGCACCACCTCCTCTAGTGACTGGTGATAAAATCCGACGACTATCTGATAGTGAACACTTTAGACAACCAAACATCACAGTAGGAAATCATGCCAATGTACAAAAGCAGCTCCAAGAAGCACAAACACAAGCACAAGCTCAAGCTCTTGCTGATATGATTTTGAAGGTACATTTTAGTTTTTATTTTCTTTAAAGAAAATAATAAGTTTATAACAAAATTTATTGCTTCTAGAGTACAACTAAGATGACGGTTAAAAGAGCAACTTCAGATCCCGGTCAAAGGGTTCAGCTAACTTACCAATCTAGTCTCCAAACATCAAGCAACCAGCAGTCACAACAACCAAATCAAGCTCAATCGCAACCTCAGCAAGCAGTGACTGAAAGCTTCGCTATGACCAATTACTCCGAAGACGGAGGATATTTTAGTCCAAGTTTACAAGACGAAGTATTTCAACAAGTTACTGCGGTTCCAGACTCAGTGCTGTTACAAGCTAGTCAATTAGACTCCATTCAGGTAAGAAAATATTTCTGTTACTTACTTAAAATTTATTTAAAGTGTAATTAATCATGTTATTTGTAGTTTCAAGCATCAAGTTTACTCCAGGAGCAATCATCAGACCAAATGCAAGATATAACACTAGAAGATCGATTTACCAATCAACATACAGTTAATCCTGATCTTCAAGCGTTAGTGAATTCACCTTTACCCGATTCTTTAGCTGAATTTAGCACGTACGGAGCTCCATATACCGAAAGTCCTCATACTTTACCTACACAATCACCTTTACCATCTCCATTAACTCGGCACGACAGTCCAAGCTTTACTTATCCAACTCCGCCATCTAGTCAAGAAGGACTTTTATCAGGAACTTTACCACTCTTGAGTCCTCAAGATGATTCAGATACCGTGAGACCAGTATCTTCACCTCTCTCAGCAGCGTTTTACACTACCACATTGTCATCAGCTGCTGCCGTTGAAGAAGCTTTAAATGCGGTTCTTCCTGAACAAAATCAAAATGATGCTGATTTATATGGCTCTGGATCACCTAATCCAAATTCTCCACTCCCAAGTCCTTTATCAGCAACACCAGCCCCGTCACCACTCTCATCACTTCCACCTTCTTCGGTTTCATCACCCGGACCAGTTACATTCTCTTCATCTGGATTTCCTGTATCTCCACATCATGCACTTCAGAATCAAATGATGCCAAATTCTGAGGATCCATTACTGTCTTCAAGCCCTAAAGATTTTGGTGTTGGTCGTAGAAAATTTGAATTTCAATCTTACAAATTGATTACCAATCAAAATCTTGTGGATTTTGGACTAGGTAATGGAAGCCTAGCTAGTATTGTAGTTGATAATAATGGTGAATATAAGCTAATTCAAACAGCGGGATTACAAAAAACAAATGTTTTAGTTCAAGCAAGTTCTTTGAGTCCAACATTGACTTTTAGAAAAGAAATACGTCTGACTACACCAAAAATCGAGCCTAGAATTAATTCCAACAATATTACGTCAAACCAAGGACTTAACTTAGTCCAAAACCAATCATACCAATCAAATAGTCAACTCCAGCAGCTCATAAACCCAGCAAGATTCATGATACATACGACCCAAGGATCAAAAAATACGTTGAAACATAAAGTTCCAGTTAATTCAGTTAATTCTCTACCAATTCCGATCGAGCAGATAAAGGAGGAGCTTCTAGACGATGATATATTTCTCAGTCCTGGCAATGTTCCAACTAGTAGTCCCTTGAGACAAAGTAGAAAAAGACCGAGAATAGATGGCAACTGCCATTCGTATCCTTCACGACTGAGACGTGCCTGTGATCGTCACTGGGACAGTAGTTATACTCCACCGCCAATTTTAGACCCGTCACGACTTGGGTCTGGACTTTACGCAAGGCTGCCTCCCTACGAGCGAGATTCTGAGCTCAGCTCTGATGAATCACAGAGTAACCATCAAGATGGCCCTCCACCAAGAATTAATATTGGTACAAAATATCAAGCTGTAATACCACCCCTAGGTTGTGAAGAGAAACGGCACAGTGGTCGAGAAACTGATCATTTACTCTGGGATCCTGGTATCTCTAAAAGCTTAACTGACAATGCACGTAAGTATTTAATAGATTAATTGATCTAATAGTTATTTTCTTCATTAATGATTCATTCAACTATTTGTTACAGTGGAGATGTATCTACAGTTTGCTTGTTGTGCCAGTGTTCCTGGTGGTGGTAGAAACAAAGAGTATGCACTCCATCTTTTACACATGTGTAGAGGAAATATTCATGTGAGTTAAATTTATTAATTAATTTATATAATAAAAAAAATAAATTTAATTGTAACATTTAATTTGAATAATTTTTTTTTTTGTTAAATCAAATTATGTCTCAGTAATTTATATAAATTAATTTTAAAATCTTTCTTTGTTTGGACATAAAAGGAGGCAATGATAAAGCTCATGAGACCAACTCCGACACTGCCACCACAGCATCCACTCTTGAGCTACGAGTGCCGTGAGTCTGACCGCTGGACAACCCAAGAAATGGAAGCATTCTACCAAGGTTTACTTGAATACCACAAAGACTTTACTGGCATTGCTCGTGATATATGTACAAAAACAGTGAAGCAGTGCACACAATTTTATTACTTCTGGAAGAAAGTGTGTCCTGATGAGTACAAGAATGTTCGAGCACGTCATGGTAAACCAAAAATCAAGCTAGAGAACAAAATTTACAAGGATACTAAAGACACTAGGGAGCTCAGAGATGCTATTGCTTCAGTTACAGAAATGGATTTCAGTGAAGAGAACTCTATATTGCATCGAACCCTTGTGAGTTTTAATTACTGTTCAGTGTTATTATTTCTAAAGCCACTAAATTTATTATTATTATTATTATTTGAAAAAACTTTGATATTAATAATGATATTTTACGAAAGTTACAGACAAATGAAAGAGAATCATCTGCAACACTGACAACCAGTGAAGGGGAATTAAGGCTTTTTGCCTACGACTGCCCTGATGTAAGTCTTACTGCTTAGCAAAAGATAAATTAATCTAAAAATTAAGCAATGAAAACCCAAAATTTTTAAATAATTTAGATTGAAAGACACTGACTTATTAATTTTAAAAACAATATTAATAATAATTCATAAATAAATACTAAAACAACTCTCACAAAAATATAACAAATTACACGTATTGTAATTATTGAACTATGTACATGTGAACGTTTAAATGTCGCATGTCGTTACGCTATGTCTCTTTCCGTTTTCCTTATGCTTACAATGATTATTATTCCCAGAGCAATAATATAAACCACCAAAGTCATTACTACTATTTATCATCACCATCACAACCATTACTACCTTGAATTTGTATCCTATTGTTGTTAGTTTTGTGTTTGTGTTGTTTATTTTGGCTTTGTGTTTTCTTTGTGTTATCAGAGCTTTAGCGGAAGTGTAACAGTAACGATGGCCGGAAGCACCCATACCGGCGTATCCGGCAATACCGGCCACGCCACAGTCAACACCAACTCACAAACTCACATTAGTTCTGAGCAACAACTACCCGTGTCCACCCCACTTCACTACCCCTGCAAGATTTGCGGGAAGTAAGTCTTATTTCTAATTCTAAATTGCAGTCCATATGCCATTTGCGCATTCCGACCAGAGTTGCCAGATTATTTCATCTGTGATCTTTCACTCGTTCATAGTTATTATATAATTCCTTATCAAGATGTTTTATTACATCTACTATTACCGAATCACGGAAAAAATTTTCCAGTAACTTCCGTTTAAATTAACTGACATTTCTTTTAAATAAACACCATTTTCTTTTCTTTTTTTTCTTTTTGGAATGTTTGTTGTTAATTAATCAGTTTACTTTTATAAATACAAAGAAAATAAAAAATTACGAAAATTTGTTCCGTGTAAAATATTAAAATCAGTTTGTTTTAATTAAAATTTTTAATGAAACTATTGTTCATCATTGAATTTACAATTTCTTATTTACTACTAACCTAATAAATTGATTGAGAGATTTTACTGCCGCTAAAGGAATAATATTAATGAATAAAACTAAAACAATTCTATATACTTATAATTCTGGCAACCCTGAAAGCTAATCGAAATCGTTGGTGGGTCTTTTTATTCAAATTTCGAGTCACGCATGAAATAAGAAGTAGAGTCAATTCAATCGATAATTATTTGAGGTATTGAAAAATCAATAAAATATATTAATGAATAACAATTCTATTTTTATATATATAAATATAGATACATTTATATATATATATATATATATATATATATCTAGGAACAATGTGATAATATTAAAATAAATGCATTAAAGTTGAGTAGTGATTAAAATTATTAAAGTATACAGCGCTGATAAGCTTGAACATCATCATTCATATATTATATCTCATTAAGTATTTTTTGCGTAAATATTTTCTTAATGCTTCCATTAGTTAGGATTATTTGAATAAATTGGATTATATTATTTATTATAACATTATTACTCTGAATTATAATTATTGATATTTATCTTCATAAGATAAAAATATCGATCATTTTTCATTCATCAAATTTTGAACTTATTCACTGTTGTCCTCTAACATTCCTACGTTTATTCTTCTGCACTCAATGAAAAATACCTGCTTGTTTTCGTCATGACTTAATCATCATTTTTAACAAATCATCAACGAAAATATTATTTTTCGCATGAACTAATAGTTTAAAATAGACATAAACGATGATAATTACGATATTAATATAACGAAAAATTTGATTTTTATTAATCTGTGTAATCATTATACATTGGTGCATTCCGATCATAATAATTGTTTGCATGGAAAATTCTAACACAATATTTCGTAAATTTATATTGGGAAAAAATTTATATTCATCATTTGATTTAATCATACAGAAAAATAATTTTTTCATTATTAATTAATTTTTTGCCATTAAATAAACTTTGATTAATCATATAAAGGCTTTCATTTTTCTACTTAAAATTTTTTCTCAGTGTGTTGACTTTTCTTCACTCCAAAATTAATATTAAAATAAGTTAAAATTCATTTCTAGATGTATTTTTTCATTCAAATATATATCTCTTAAATATCTATTAAATATTTTTATAATTTTTGAATGTTCTCTATTTTTGTTCTTTTAACTACAATAAACATTCAATAATTACCCTCTAAATCTATTATTAAAAATATATGAAAAATAGAAAATATTAAAATAAACTTTCTAAAAATTATATCATGCTTTTGCCCAGAATTTTCAACAAAGTGAAAAGCCGAAGTGCTCACATGAAATCTCATCGGCCAATAGCCTTACCCGACTCAACGGAATCTAAAAAGCTCCCAGGTCAACATCACCAACAACATCAGCAGCCGCAACAAACTCAAAAACAAAATCGAATACAGCAAAATTTAACACAAATAACAGTGGATTATCAGCAAAAAGGACTGTCTAATAGCAATGAAACAAGTAATTTAAGTGCTAATCATTTATGGCACAATCCTACAAGATTGCGACCACCATAGACTAGACAAATTCATCATGCACTCAAGGTATCACCACCTTTTATCATAGCACCAATGTCTCTTATGCTTCAATGTACAAATAAATGTACAATTGATTTGTTAATCGTCGTTACTTAATTACATTTGACGACTACAAAACCAATAACCGAATAACTATGAATTGACATTCCTCAAGTTAAATCTATTGATGAAGATTATTGGCCTAAAATCTCATTTAAGAGTGCAACTCAAGTTTCCCTTGGTGGTCTAAATGATTTAAATATTTCATAAATGAATCAATGAATTCATTTACTATTATTAAATAAAATTATTTACTAAATAATATTAAAAATAAAATATTTATAATAAATGATTGTAGATATCTGAACAATAATAATAATGATGACGACGATAATAATTATAGATGTAAACTTTCAAATGCTCGGTTCAAATAACTCTGTATAAGAGTTATTGCATAGAAAACAAAGAAATAATGATAAAATAAATTTAGTAAAGAAATAAAAATATTTCCAATAATTTTGATAATTAAATGTGATGTGAAATGTTATTCATAAAGTTTCCAACGTGTATAATATTATACTTTATTATTGTTATTATTGTTATTATTATTGTTTTTTTTTTTTTTTGCTATTCTTTGATCTTCCTTCAATAAATGCCAATATTAAAATAACAAAACGAAAAATCGATAAAATTAAATTTATGAAAAATAAATTTCGTTTATAACGTATTTAAAATGTTCGAATAACAGCAAAATATAAATTTTAGCCAACAAAAATATAAGCTGCATTTCAAATGGATAAAATATATTTTATTGATAATTTTAATATTCTGCTAATAAATAAATTTATTAAAAAAATTAATTATTAATCAAATGAATAAATTATTGAAACTAATTAATTATTAAGTTTCTAGTAAGAATGCTTTTTACTTGATTTATCTATTAATTTTATAAATAAAAAAAACTATACTTAAATGAAATTTCAAATATATTCAATCAAAATATATTTAAATTTGTAAAAAATTTGTGAAAATAATCTTAGGATTGTATTGTATGTAGGTGATGTAGATAAACGACGAAATTACATAAATTATTGTATAAATCGTGAATGCCTGCCTGCATGTAAATTTGACTATGAAGTCAATATAGACAATGAAATAGACTAATTATTCAATGGACTATGAATAGATTAGTTACAAAAAATAGATAATCAATTTCTACATTCAATATTTAGGTTTGTTTTTTCGTAATTCCACATGACGAGACTATGGTATTGAATACAAATTATTATTTCAATGACAAAGATTAATTAAAATCTTCTTTTATTCAATTTATTTATTATTTATTTATAAATAGTAGTAAATAAATTCGTTAAAAAATCATGTCTTCACATAAAATTAATATTAAATTTTTAGAGAAATTTTATAATAAATTTTGTATAATTATTTGAAAAAAATGCCAATAATAGAGGTAACAATTCGATAGTTAAATTATTAATGTTTTCGTTCATTTTAACTTTTTCTTTATTCGAGGATTTTTTTTTATCCATCGATAAATGAAATTCATAAATTATAAATAAACTAATAAATTATAAAATTATAAATTTCATCTTTTTAAATAATTGTAAAGAATAAGCATGTCTTTCATAAGCCGCTTATTTAAATGGAAGTATGAAATTAAGACTTAATATTTATCTTCCATCTTAATCGATTTAATATTTATAATTGATCTCAAACCCTAAAAATTCTAGTGCCAATTTTTCTAACATATACATATGTATATATTATACATAGATTCTTCATCTAAATTATTTTTACGTCTCAGTACTTTACTCGATCAATAAATTATCTCAAACTTTAAACTAATCCGGCCACTATTTAAAAAACAATCTCTTAAAATGTTATTGAAAAACCGGGTATCTAAAAAAAATTTTAAAACTTTTAAACAAATAACAGCCTCCAGCTTTTATATAAAAATAAAAAATGTAACATAAGTTTGTTTAAAGGATTAGAAATGATTGTAGGTATTTTTAGATCATATTTCTTTCAAATTTTAGTGAAAATATTAACTCTAGTTCTAATTGAATCTAAAACTACATGATAAATAATTTACTGTATATTTCAATACAAAAGAAAATCCGTTTATTTTTGAATTTTTTACTTATTACGTCTGATCCTTTGAACAATTTTGAAATAAACATAACAAATTGTGATAGTTATTTTAATGATACAAAAAAGAATTTTACGTTCTTATCTTTATTTTTGTGGCGTAATTTTGATAGAAATAATTATTAAATCAAGATCAATACAGAAGAAAGAATATTTATCAAAATTTGTTGATTGCAAAGAGAAGCCTTACCGAATTTAATATCTGGCAAATGAACAAAATTAGCAGACATATCATTTTATGACAATACTCTATTGTTACAGAAACAAAGTTTCTACTAATTGATATAATTTTATTTAATATACATAACTAGACAAAAGTAAGTAATTCAAAGCCAATAATTAATAATTAATAATCGAATCATAAGGAAAAAATTGGCGTAGTTAAATATTTAAAACGGTGCTAATAAAGACATTTGTGTTTTTATCTTAAAAATAGTAATATTCACATTTTGGATTGATTGTTACGATGATCAAAAAAAAAATTATATATAATCGAATAGCTGGGGGCTGATTATATAAAAAGAATAAAGAGAAAAAAAAGGACTAATGATAATAATGATAGTAATAAGTATGAGATTAAAATATGTATCAAATTGCGATTTTACAAAGCAATGAAAATAGTAAACGAAGATTTGTATGGATTGTACAAACAAATCCCTCCACGTCACTCAAAACGTTATGATATATATGAAAAAGCAAGAATATATATGTAACAAATATGTGATGTAATTAAATGGTATGTGGTATATGATATTATGTATTGTACATATGAGGACCCGTACCAATTAATGAATTGTACCGATATTTTATGGGGATCTTTTTTTTCTGTTTGTCTGTCTGAAATTTGTTTCTTTGCAATTGAATTTATATCATTTAATTTAGTAAACTACTTTATTTTGTAAATAATATTTTTAGAATAAAATAATTTATCCAAAAATAGGGCAATTATAAAGATGATTAATCGCACAATCGGTGAAAGCAGGAATATCCCTACACTTACAACATTACACGCACATGCTTTATGCCCATTTCTGCATTAACTGTCAAGCGATACACATTTTTATTTTAGAGTAATTTTTCAATTTTAGATAAAAATAATATCGGTGCAACTCGATAAAAGCAGTGTAGCGTGGTTAATACACCTGAGGAAAGTGCTCAAAATACTGTATTAAAATGAGAAAAAATACTATCGAAAAGGTTTTACCAGGAAAAAAATGATTCCTAACGAACGGAAAAAAACAAAGATAAAAAAAATTTACTGAATTATCTTAATATTGTAATCTATTGTCCTTATTCTTATTATGATACTCCAACACGTATCTCTACAAGCCAATATGTTTCTATAATTCTTCTATTGAATTGAATGTTACTAAATTAAACAATTAATATCAACATCTACTATTGATATGTCAACCCTGTTATATATTATTAGTAGAATTTCGAATTAGTAACGAAAACATGACTGGCTATAGAATATTTCATCATTGTTAATTGATATTTTAATTCTTAAAACTTATTCCTAATCAATCTTTACATTCCTTTTAAAGAAAATTAATATATTTGATTGGATAACTAGTTACAGAAATACATACATAAATTTGTATATCCAAGAAGTAATTAAAGGGCTAAAATAGATAATAAGATAAAAATAATTGCGATAGCAAGGCAGTTATAAAATCTGAAATTTTTTTTACTATCTGCTCAACTAGTTTTTTAAAAAAAAAATAATTTTGCTCAAAACTTATAAATACATATTTTAAAAAAAAAACATACATTTTTACTTATCTTTATGTCATCTCTCAAAGGCTCAAAAACATCTTAAGCAATATATTAAAGCGTATCGATCAAATAATCACTAATTCATCAATTCGTCAATCACTTCTGTAGCCGGTCTCAATTCGTTTTTAATGTACCTACTACCTATATTGTGCATCACATTTTGACGCTCAAATAACCCAAAAAATGGGTTTAGTAATTATCTAAACAAATTCATCATTACCTATTTAATAAATAAATTAATTTATGTACTTATTTATTTAGTTATTGCTATAATTATGCAACGAGCGATGAGTGTAATGCTACTGAATAGGTTCAGTGTATGTCTAAAAAAATGCAATGTAATTTTAAGTTGCTAAAAATTAAACCAACTGCAAAAATCACCTTTGTATATACCAAAGCTCATTTCTCAATAGCAATTATAGAAATGACAATATTTATTCGGCCTATTTTCACTAAAAATCAAAAATAAAAAATGTACTTAAAAAACGAGAATATTATCTTACATAAAATCACTCATTTTACCTGAGTGACTGAAAAATAAGTTGAATTAACATAAAACAAGCAATTGTTCTTTTTCAAAGAGGCTTAAATGTGGCAACGAGTATCAGTATTATATCTACAAAGCGTTAATTATTTATTTCAAAAATAAATATCTTGATCCCATAGGAAAATAATTATTTTTGAATAATTATTGATCTTACAATATAAATAATTTAAACATAATAAAAATAAATTACATTTTTAAGATTTTTCGTACCATTTTTACAGACTATTTCTGCATTGATTGCAAGAAAAAATTCAATTTTATCTTTATATTTTATAAAAAAAAAACAACAATTTTTCAATGGGTATCAATTTATTGTGTGTGCATAGATGTATTGTCTTATTATTAATTAATTATAAATAGCGATATATGAATATATGAATACCATTATTAAAAAAAATAATAACTAATTATATATGTACACAAAATATATTATATAGTATTCAGATTCTTGTAAATATGTATTTGATGTTCTGAATAACTGTGAATATTATTGATAAAAATTGAACTCAATGAATGATTGTCTTTAAAAAATCTGCTAAAAATGTATTTAGATACATATTCATTCGAATTTCAAAAAATACTTAAAACTATTACCTGGGACACTATTTCAAACACATTTATGAGTGTATTTAAAACAAAAAAACAAAGATCTTAGTATCGATAATAAATATTATAAAATGTAGTCGTACAAAATGTCGTCCTCGCCGTCATTTTGTTCTAAAAGATCATTCACATACCTAATTGATTCATTCGCATAATTGTAACATGTCATTTGTTAAAAAAATCAGTTTCCGTGGACCTCCATTATAGGTTCATAATTTCCCTTTACTCAAGCAGTCAGATAAAGAGAAATTTATCAAATGCCAACCAAAGAATGAGCATAATTGATGCAAAGGATAACAAGCCAATATATAATGCAAATGTTAAACAATAAACATTTAAATGTTAACAATAAATGACGAAGATTAAATAGGAAACAAATAAATGACATAAACATGACCGTCGTTCAGAGATACATTATATAAGAAAAGAAGGATAGATAAATAAAAAAACACGTAATTTATATTAAAAATTGAAATATAAACATTGAATATAAAAATTATTATCATTATATAATAACACATAAACCAAAACGTATAGGATAAATGTAATAATCA